GGAAAGCGTTCCAGGTGCAAAAAAACCTGCAAGTCAAACCACTTTTGTGAGAGTAACTTGCTCTCTCTCTCAGTCAGAAGTTGCAGATTTTAGTCCGAAGTTTTTCTTCCTGCAAGTTCATGAAAAGTGTCAAACGATAGGCAGGGTTGCATTTGTAAACAAAAACAGATAGCAAAGAACATTAAGCGCCACGGAGACAATCAAATAAATGCTTCAAACATTGCATATGTTGCCCGCAAACGTTCAAATAAACGCGTTAATTCAACAAACAATTTCTTTCTCTTGTCCGCGCACTTGCTCACCACGACGATCAGAAGGCAAGGGCGCTTGTTTTTTGTCAAGCAAAACGCGAGACGGATGATAAAGATATTTGATCGTCTCCATGGCGCTTAACATTAAAAAAAAAATCGAAGTAGTAACAGGAAAAGGGGTTTTTCGCGTTCCAGGTGACTTTTATTTTTTCTCTCTTGCTCCTCTCTTTCAAGAGAGTAATTTTGTTATTTGACAGTTTTACAGGTTTTTATACGAAGTTATCTGGAACGCAACTAATATTTAATTTATTTTATCAATTTAACTGAGTTAAAATTTTCAAATGGGTGGCAACCCTCCTCAACAATATTTCCAACAGTTATCTTTTTGAAATCTATTTTTTTGATACCCACATTGCAATATTTCATTTATTTTATCAATTTAACTGGGATTAAATATTTAAATAGGTGGCAACCCTCTTGAAAAGTGTATCCAACAGTCATATTTCTTAAACCTCTTTGATTTGATACCTGTATAATAAGTTATTTATTTTATCAATTACATTGAGTTAAATTTCCAAACAGCTGGCAACCCTGCTTAAACATATTTTCAGCTGTAAGCCTTCTTAAAACTCTAAAGCTTGATACCCATACTGCAATACTTCATTTATTTTATCAATTTAACTCAACTAAAATTTTCAAATAGGTGGCAACCCTCCTCAAAAGTATTTCCAACCTTTTCTAGTCCTGTTTAATTTGATACCAATATTGTATGTAATAGGTCCTTCATTTTATCTTTATATTGAGTTAAATTTTCAAACAGACGGCAACCCTCCTCAAACATATTTTCGGCTGTAAGCCTTCTTAAGACTCTTTAGTTTGACACACACAATTAACTGAGTTAGATTTTAAAACAGGTGGTAACCCTCCTCAAACATATTTTCTGTTGTACGCCTTCTTGAAACTCTTTAGTTTGACACCCACATGACAATATTTAATTTATTTTATAAATTTAATTGAATTAAAATTTTCAAATAGGTAGCAACCCTCCCCAAAAATATTTCCAGCAGTTATCTTTCTAGTTTCATAGCCATATTGTAATAATTCATTTATTTTATCAAAATAATTGGGTCTAAAAATTTTCAAACAGGTTGCAACTCTCCAAATTTTTGTGATATAAATGATCCTGGTATCATACCTAATGTGACCAACAATTTCATAGCTCAAAGAAGTACAGCGTAGGTTGGGTTAAGTAACGCCGCGAGCCGATTACGAAATTTCGAACGCGGATAATTTCGATCCCTGAGCCTCGCGAAGGTTGGACTGTCTAAAAGAAAGTGTGGATATGATTCCACTTCAGTCGAAATTCCTAGTCTCACCGCATCAATCCCAATCGCACAATGGCCTGTCAGAACCTTCATCACTAGCCCTTGAGAGGTAACGTGCTTTAAAATGCCCTATAAAATCATTTGCTGCAGCAGACAAATGTCTTCTTTTCCATTTATTATGTCACAAAAGGACCCATTTTCCCTTAGCCTAATAGCAGTTCGTGCTGCAACAATTCTGTCTGCAATATCCGCAGGCACCGTGTTAAACATATGTATGTTAAGCGCCAGTGTAGGTGTGGTTCCTAATGCTCCGCTAATTCCTGTTTTGCAAATGCAGCCTTCTCTAGTGAGCTCCACCACAAGGGCTCCTTAAAACAAAATAGGCTTAAATCTGGTTTCCTGAGCTAATGAATTAAATTGGGCGAGAGACCTCACCTTTTACCGATAGCTCCCCTACAGCAATACAAGGCAACCGACACCTTTCTTACCCTTTCCCTAATGTAGGGCTTCCACGACAGCCGCCGTTTATCGCCCACTTAGTTACCTGGTTCATGTAACCTTAAGCCAGATCAAAAAGGGGGTATGGAAATCGTCCCTTAACAAAAAGTTCCACATCATCTACATAGGCGATCACCCGACAGCCCACTTTTTCCAGTTCCTATAGAAGGTCGTTTACAACTCCAATTCAGAGCAGGGGAGAGAGAACACTACCTTGTGGAGTGCTCCTATTTACTCTGCACTGAGTGCAGACGCCCCCCACTCCGCCGCGATAGTTCTGCCACGATGTACGCTACAGATAAGCCTTATTAGGTTGGTTTCAACCCCATATTATGAATTATCTTGACTATTGCCTCTGGAGTGACATTGTTGAAGGCCCTCTCGATATCGAAGAAGGCCCTACTGCATAATTTTAATGCGTGAAGGCTTCCCCTGACTACTTTACCAATGGGTGCAGGGCGGTATTTCTCGTAATAAGCATATTGAGCTCTTGAAAGACAGTCACGAAGAATCGCACTTTTTATATACAGGTCTATCAGTCTCTCTAGCGTTTTTAGCAAAAGCGTTTTCAGCAAACACGAAGATACTGATAGGCCTAAAATCCCTTGGGGAAACATGAGAGCCTTTCCGGCCTTCGGGAAGAACGCAACACTGACTATCCTCCAAGCCTTTGGATGCACCCGATTCTCACGCAGTTCGTATAAATAGGATCCAACCAATTGCAAGACACCTTCAGAGCCCTTTGCAGCTGCGCAGGTATGATGCCATCGGTCCCCGGCGACTTTAATGGTTTGAACGAATTTATCGCCCAGGCCTTGTGATGATCGTCCAGAAGATCGGAGAAGTACAGGACCTGCGGAAAATATATTAAGGAACCATCATAAAATTAGGACTATTTTGGGATTTTTAACTTTTTGATATTTTCTTCCCCAACTTTGACTATCTCTGGTGAAAAAAATGTACTGAGCTATAACTCTAGACTACATAAAAAAATTGCTCATTTAATACAGATTTCAGAAGGGTGCCAATCTTACTGTTGCGAATAGAAAGAAAAGTTATAGTCGCTTTTGTGGGCAAAGGACTGAGACACGCTAGAATGTATTTAATAGATTTAAATTCAAGTTGCTCTTGTTACCGACCAATTACATGCTAAATAGTACAAAGGTACATTATTACCTGCTCCTGACATTATTTTACGTTACTTACCGGAATTAGTGAAAGTGGATTTTGTGAAATTAGACCCTTCGAGCATTGTGTTATTAATACTATGACAGAGAACACGCAGTTTACGTCCCATGAATATGCGGATATTCAGCTAATTTACGGTGAAGCTTGCTATAATGCCAGAGCTGCTCAAAGACTCTATGCAGAGCGATACCCAAATCGTCGGCATCCGGGTCGTGAATTATTCCCCCGCACCCATAGAGAAATATCTGAAGGTAAGTAATTTTTACACCTTTCTTGTTTGAAGCCATTCTTCGTTTAACTATCATTTTTAACTTTTTTAAGGTCGCATACCTGGAAGGTGTGGCGGCGAGACAGGACGTCCTGCAACGGTAGATGTTAAAGTTGTGTTAGAGGAAGTGGAACTAGGTCCATCGACTTCAGGAGAATGGTGGAAAGACGGACGGGAATACCAAAAACTACAGTTCACAAAGCTTTAAAATGCCATCCCTACCACATTCAACGTGTTCAGGCTCTACACGAGAGAGATACCTGTCGAGGGTTAGATTTTGCCGTGAAATGTTGGGAATGCATGAATCAGACCCCAACTTGTCTAATAAAATAATTTGGAGCGACGAATCATCATGCAAACGTGATGGTTATTTTAATTTACATATCCTTCGCAGTTGGCAGATAGACAATCCTCACGAAATGAGAGAAGATCGTTCGCAGTACCGGTACAAAATAAATTTATGGTGCGGTATTTTTAATTGTCAGATATTGGGACCTGTGGAACTGCCGCCAACGCTCAACTCTCACAGTTATTTAGAGTTCCTTCAGGAACGGCTTCCAACTCTTTTGGAAGATGTACCCTTAAACCTGCGGCGAAGACTATGGCTGCAAAATGACGGGTGCCCTGCTCACTACGGGCGTGAAGTAAGAGCTCATTTAGACGAAACTTATCCTCG